AAGTTAAGCATGTGCTTAAGTGCTTTGCTGGATCAGGGCCAGAGTGCTCAGCTTCTCGTGAGACTGAGCACCAAGTGAGAAGAGAATCAGGCTCCCTGTTCTTAAGGTTGAAAGACACAAAATAGTAAGGGCAGTACATTGTATTTTATTTTATAAAAACATATGCAATTTCATTGTATTCCCCTGGCAGATAAGGGAGGAGACAGAAGGAGCAGGTGGCCAGTTTGAGGCCTGACTTTGGAAGAGAATTGGGGTCAACTGCATTCCTGGTGGGGGAGGAGGTGACATGGGGAGAATATTGGGAAGATCATAACCATGAGGGCACATAATCACATTTAGTTTTCCATTCATAGTGTAGGCTTATAATAGTATTTTAAACGGATGGACTTTTTACTGTTCAAGCTCTTGCAGTGCAGGGATCCATCCACCTTGCTGCAATAAGCATTACATTGGGGGTGGGGGGAATCTCTCCAGTGTTTTAGCTCAGGGAACAGTGGGTATCCTGTCAGCTGATGCTAAACACAAAGCTAATGATGCAGTGACATTTTAATGAGAGTGTAATAGACAATACAAGGCCGAACTGCAGAAATGCTTTTTATTCCGCATACATTTATATTACATTTCATCTATTGTCACACTGGGAGCCCCATTGTAAATTAATTTGGCAGATAAATTTACGACAGCAATTTGCCTTCCAGATGTATAATTTATTCATGTCAGAAATAATTTATTATATATTCCCTCAGACCAATCTTTTTTTCCGGTGCCACCTTAGTAAATAAAATTTATTGTTTCCACTGAGCCTTGTGTGACTTTGCAGTGGTCAGTCAATAACCACAGGGGGATAGTTGTGGTCACATTATTGGTCACTTATTTGGATGGATGATGGAGTACCTTGTCCCATCTGTACATATATTACTTTCTTTTGTCTTAGGGGCACTTTTGGGAAGATTAATTAGGTCCATCTGCAAGGAAAGATCAGCCTTAGGGGATTCAGGTAGCTAAAATAAATGCCAAGGGGAAGAACTGCTGAAGGAGACACTTTGAAAATCAAAGCTATTTTCCACAACATTAATGGGGAAATATATCTATATAGATTGAAAGAAAAATAAACCTGCTTCTTAATCTGGGTCATTTTAACACCAGCATGATAAATGCCTCTTATAGACGCTGTGCTAGGGTAAGGATCTATGCACATGGTTAGAGTACATGGGCAGTATTCTCAGCAATGTGTCACCATAGCTCCACTATTGTCAGTGGAGCTACCCCCAGTTCACATCAGCTGAGGATCTGAGCCATTACCTGTCAAATAGATCCATGTGTATACACCTTATTTAGCATGAGTTGAATGCAAAATACATGAAATTTGCTGCAACTTAAGTAATAGCTAACTGCATTGCTTGGCCAGTATAAGCTGAGCTCCATGTACTCTGCAGCACAATGGGACCAAATTCTGGAGCATCTAAATAACATATGGAGGAAAAGGCAAAGGATCATTTTCCTCAGCAAGGCTCAGCCATATTGTGGACTTTGGAATGTGGTAAAAGCATTGTATTGCTTGAAGGCCATTTTGTTAGAATGGAATAACTGTACCTGTAGATTTGGGGCCACAGTCTGCCCTCATTTACATGACTACTACTCCTATTGACTCTGAAGTGAATCAGTGAAGGCAGAGGAATGTGAGGAGGAGGCAATTAGAAAGGAGAATAAGGGAGGAAGTAAAGGAAATAGAAGGGAAAGGAAAAAAGCATGAAAGAAGCAAAGCAAAACAAAAAGCAAGAAGGCAAGGGAAAATGCCAGGCAGCATTTGATTTCTGTGTCCCTCCACTTGGAGAATATTTGAGGAGGAGGATGAAATTTGTTCTGGAAATGCTGATGCCTGTCTCCCTCTCTGTGCTATGAACAAAGCCTCTGCATTCTCAAATATGGGCAATTCATAGGATGTCTGGATCTTTAGGCTTAATTCTACAGAGTTGTTGATCCCACACCACACAGTACTTCAAGGAAATGGGGCCTTTTGTACAAATGAGATGCTTGCCTTGGAATGTGTAGACCTTGTCAGACAAAGCTGATTAGATAGTTTATCTGGGCTTTTGTTTTATGAAGGGCACTGTATAAATGCATAGGCACCCAGCAGCCTTTGGGCATGATCATCATCTAAATAAAAGTGTAATTTATTATACTTGCATCTAGAAGGACTGGCATTTCCATGTGTTGCTAATGCAAAATGGAGCCTTTAACTGCTAAGCCATTTGTTCTTTCAATTCTGTTCCAGTCTTTAAAAGTCATGACACTCTGAAGGTTGTTTCGTGGTCTTCATGACATGGGTTGATGGCTTCAGTACAATACCTAGTAGACAAATACCACATCCCCAGAATAGTGTCACAGCTAGCATCAATTGAAACCCTTGTTGGCAGTCTCAGCACAGCAGCAAAAGAATGAACGGGCATGGAAACTAAACTCTCCTCTAAAGAAAAAGACTCCCCCCCACCCCAAAAAAAATCTCTTGGCCAGTTTCTGCTCTCTGATACATGTGGGTGATTCCTATCTACTTGGGTGGGAGCTACACATGATAGTTATCTTAGACAGTTAAGGCCCCAGTCCTGCAAACAATGAAAAATGTGAGTTATCTCTGAGTTCTCATGTGTGGCTGTGTGATTCTGAATCCTGGAAGCAAGGCTGTGTCACGTTACAATGGAGCCATGCAGCCACGGTGCTGGAGTTGAGGGATGAGGGAGGCTCCTCTGCACAGGTTCCTGGGGAACTGCTAGATTGCCTAGTGGACCCTGCAACCTTTCCCACAAAGGGGAAAAACCTGCCTGCTAGAGCTGGTCTGGAAATGCTTTGTGTCCCTTCTCCCTCCACTCCCATAAAAAGAAGACAAAAATGAAAAGTTTTTCTTCAGAAATTTTCATTTTCATTGAAAAAAATAAATGCTGACATTTTTCAGGTTTTGGCCAAAATTTTGGTTGTTACAAAAATTGGAAAACAATGTTTTTGACAGAAGATGAAAAATGTAATCACAAATGGACATTGCTCACACAAACTTCCATCCTGATTGAAAAAAAAAATTTTTTTCTTTGAAAAAACCATTGTGGACAAAAAGCATCAACTAGTTCTACTAATTTCCCTTCAAAGAAACTACATCTAGAAAGAAAATATCTGTAGAAAAGTGACCAAATGCAGACACATATTCAGCCCCGTCCTGCAGTCCTTACTTGGACAAAGCTTCCTATCAGTTTCACCTGAGGAGGGCCTGGAGGATCAGACCCAGTCTGTGACTGGTGACTCCCCATTTCTAGACATTTGTCCAGTTGTGGACACTTGCTTTTAAATACTCCAAATAACCAAATTATTGTTTTGAATTTTCCAGAATCAACCAAACAAGTGAAGAGTGGCTGAGTGTGTGCCATGAAACGGGCTCAGCCAAGTTGTTTGCATAGTTAAATTGCATCAGGCACAGTTGTGGGTCAAACTCAAGAGTCCTTTCTGCATGATTAGAATGTATTCTTATGGGAAGGAGGTCTGTAAATAACAGCATCCAGTCAAATCTTGCTCATTTTACTTATGAGACAAGGTAGGTGAGGTAATATCTTTTATTGGGCCAACTTCTGTTGGTGAAAGAGACACACTTTGGAGCTCATACAGCACTCTTCTTCAGGTGTGGGCTCTGTGTAAGCTCCAAAGTGTGTCTCTTTCACCAACAGAAGTTGGGCCAATAAAAGATATTACCTCACCCACCTTTTCTCTCTAATATCCCGGGACCAACACAGTTACAACAGTGCAACATTTTACTCATGTAAGTAGTCCCATTACACTTATAAGGTGAGCAGGCTTGGGCCTGGTATGAGAAAGAGAAATCTTCTTTTGCTCTTCTGATACCTAGGAAATGGAGGGATTAAAAGCAGCAGCAATGGGGAAGGAAGCATGAAAGACCTCAGACAATAGTTATCTCCTGAATACTGTATAGATACACTTTACCAAACTCACCTCTCTTGCAAATACATGGGCAATAGCCTGTTGTGATGCTTTTTCAAAATTTGTGACTCTGCAATGAGCGCTGCAGTTTCTGATGCAGCAGGAATAATTTCCAGTTCTTCAGATCCTGCCCTCCCATTTCCAAAACTGCACGAAGCCATATGGGAAGGAGAGACATTATGGCAGTGAGTAGTGGATTAATTTCTGTTACTATCCTAGGCTAACTCAGTGGGTTAGGTGAGTAAGAGTGATTTGATGCTTGATTGTATGTAGTCTCATGGATGGGATGGGGGTTTATTTAGACCTGAGGGAATCATGGATTTTTTCAGTTTAGGGACAAACTGAAAAATTTGGAAAAAGAAATTGTTGGTTTGTTTTGAACTGAAACTGAATTTCTTTAGTTCTCACTGAAACAAACAAACAAAAAACGGGGGAAATCGGTTTGTGTTTGGTGTTTTGGGTTGTTTCTCAGGTGTGTCTCACCCTTTCCTTGTCTGTTTGTAATTAGCTACATTCCTGAGTCAAGGCCCATTTCCCTGTCTAGGTTTTCTGGACCAGAAATATTTGGCTAGGTTCATCCCATTACACCAGGCATGTGTTTGGCCCATATGCCTGCAAGATTGCGGGATTATAAAGGGACCTTTCCCCCTTTAGGAGGCTGAGGAGCTGTCACTGGAGGAAGTAATGTATCATTCTGGCTATACCCTGCCTGCCTCCTTGGACAATGCCCCAGCTAAAGTCCATCCTGGGCACTGTTCCTCTGCGGATCCCCCTCTGCCTCTTGCTCCTTTCAATAGCTGGTGAATCTCTAGCCGGCTCCCAGCTGCAGGGCGAGTGACAGTTGGGGTCTCCCTTTGGCGAGCCCCAGGAGGTGGCTAGCTGGCTGAAGGCAGGGCGGGATGATGGATGGATGCTGCCGAGCCCCAAGGGGGGCGAGGTGGAAGCGGGGGGTGGGGTAGGAGTGACTCACTCACACAGCCGGCGCTTCAGCCCGCCCCGCTCACAAGGTGCCGGAGCTGAGAGCAGCCAGAGCCCGGGTCGCTCCCTCCTGCCCCGCCGCGCACGCCCCGCCGCCTCCGACATGCCCGACTTCGCCGGCACCTGGAAAATGAAGAGCAGCGAGAACTTTGACGAGCTCCTGAAAGCGCTGGGTAAGGGGCGGGCGGGGCGCGTGTCTGCCCCGCGCCGGGCAGCCGGGACACTGGCTGGGCTGAGCCGGCGGGACGCAGCCCGCTGCCCCGGAGAGTTTGCAGCGAAGTCAGTCAATCTCCACCGCGTGGCTCGGCCCCGGCTGCGCTGGCGGTGCGGGGCCAGGTGTCTGCTGCCTTCTCACCGCAGCCGCGGGGCCGGGGGCTGAGGAGACTTCGCCGCACGGAGCGGCCCTGAGAGATGCTAGCCTGGGAAGAGACGTGCCAGCAGGTGGCTACTAGCCCGCGTGGCACACGCAGAGCCGTTCAGACAAGCCTATTGCCACCATGGTCCGTGCAAACCTGTCCACAGTCTGAGTGATTAACGCACCTGCACGGCTCGGGCAAACGCAAAGCCATCACTGCTAACCCTACTGATAAACGCCGTCATATCACTAAACCCAAGTAGCCAGGGCAGACCTATTCATCCCAATGATTAATGGCACATTCATAATTAATAGTGCCACCGTTTAACTAAAGATCCCGCTACTAAATGCAATCCTCTTAATAACAGCTGTATTGCGGTGCGTGCCCTCTGCACATTAATAGTGCACATGCCGTACAGCAGGGAGGTTACCGGTCGTGGAGGCGGATGGTTGGGTTAATGTTCTGCTTCCTGGTCTCCCCCTTTGCGCAGGTGTCAATGCGATGCTCAGGAAAGTGGCAGTGGCAGCCGCCTCCAAACCGCACGTGGAGATCCGCCAGGATGGGGACCAGTTCTACATCAAAACGTCTACCACCGTCCGCACCACTGAGATCAACTTCAAAGTAGGGGAGAGCTTCGAAGAGGAGACTGTGGATGGCAGAAAATGCAGGGTAAGGGCGAGGGAGAAGTGTAAGTGTGTGTGTGTACACACAGCCTTGGCTGATGGTGTTTTCCCAACAGAAACCCCACCCTGGTAAAAGTGGTAATGGGGATTGAGTAAGAGTCTGAATAGAACACACCAGATCAAAGGTGGACACAGCTTCCCCTGTGTCCTAGGAAAAGCCCTTTGCTCTCCCAGGGTGGATTTCTCTGAGAGCTCTGTAATTTTTATATGCGGCAGATAGATAAATTTCCACGGGCTCAAGACAATGGCATTGCCGACTTACTCCTTTACTCGGTCTTCTCTGCCTCATCCATCCCTAATCTGAAGTGTCTGGCTTTTGGCCTCAGTCTGGCATTGTTCCTCAGGGAGGGCAGTTTAAAATTAAAAGCAGCAAAAAATATCAGGACCTGAAGTAAGAGCTCAAGATGATTTTACACAATTCTTCTCCCTATCCCTTACATGCAGAAATTTTTCTGATTGCTTTTCCTTCTCTCTATTTTAATATGTCCCCCTATTGGTGAAAGACATTCCTTGATTTACCGTAACACAGACTGTGGATGAGCAACTAAGATCTCTGCCTTGAGTGCTGAGCAGAATTTAGTGGCACAAACTTGCTCATAACTTTTATCCTAAAACAAAACAGCCTAGTCTCAAATAAGAATTGCAGGATATTTTTAGCTTTGGCCTGAAATTCTTTTATCATAGTTCAAATGTATATCTTAATTTTTTGCTTAGATATTAATTGCTTGTATCTTTGATCTAATATTGCATTGTGATTCTTAATGTTATGAGTGTAAACTTCAATGGCTGTCCATCCTCATTACACCACTTTCTTTGTTCAGTGTTATCTTTGAGATGCCTCATCTGTTTGTTTTGTTTTGTTTTTTTACACTTTGATGAGAAACTCTGGGCCTGATGTTTCCATTGCTCTGTACCTAGTATAGTCATTTACACTTGTGCAAAGTGGGTGTATAATACTACATTCTGATTTAGTTGCATCTTACATCCACTTTACACTGATATGAATACACAAGGCATAAGGAAATAGAGAATTGGGACCTCTGTGGTGGGAGGAGGGGGTTGTATGAAAAAAAGTTCACACAGGACCAGGTTCTGATGCCCTTTACTTGCACTGAGTAGCATCTTGTTCCCTAAGTAGTTCCACTGATGTCAATGACACTACTCATCAACGAAAGTGCTACTCAGTGTGAGCAGTGTCATTGATATCAGTGGAACTACTTTCAAAGTAAGAAGCAACTCAGTGCGAGTAAAAGATATCAGAATCTAGCCCCAAACAAAGAGTAATATTTTAAAAAGGCAAAATAGTAGCAAAATATTTCTGATCATCCCAGGACCAACTTCTGAGTTCATTTGCATTGATGTAAATCCAGAGTAACTTCATCAAGTTTAGTACAATTACTATGGATTTAAACTGGTGTAACTGGGAGCCTGATCCTGGGAGATCTTGAGCACCTGCAAACTCCCATTGAATCTCTAGGATGAACAAAGTATATAGATTAAACAGCTAATTCAAGAAATATCTCACTGGTTTTGTTAATTTCTTTCTCTTGGTGAAAGTAAAATTGAATTTGATCATCCAGAACACATCTGACTCCATTTTAAATGAAAGTTTTATTGCTACATATAGAAAAACAATAATTATTGCTTTGAAAGTGGGCAAATTTTTAAAAATGAGTTTTGTGATGCAGTAAATTTTTTCCATGTGTGAAATTATATGAATGAATTATATTGCTGAGCTCAATATAAAATTGAGCTGTGGCTATGATACAGAAATTGACAGAAAAATAACATCATGATATAGTTTGCAGTACCTGACAAAATAGCTGAATGTTTATAGATTCTGAAACACTTTACAAGAAAAGAGGGTCTTATTCTGCAGTCTGACCTGATCTATTGTTCACACAAACAAATAAGGATTCAGGATAGTTGGAATGAAAAGCATAACATGTATAACTCTGCCATATTGGTTTTAAAAGGCTATAATTTTGAAAGAATGATTGTTTTTTATATAAAGGAAATGGCAATTTTTTATATAAAAGAAAAGTTTTTCCTTTGGAAAGTCAGGGAAGTGTTGACTTTAATTTTTTTTTTATCATCACAGACTAATGAATGTCTCCCATGTGCTAGTTGTAAAGCGATTACTTGTACATTCATTACGGGGCATCCTTCTGCACAGCTGTTCCACTGCATTGTGGAATAATAATTCAACACTAGGAGGAAAAGCAATGGAGAGCCTGTGCTTGCCTGCTTGTTAAAACAGTATGAAATGCCCCATGGTTTCTCACCTCAAAATAGCTTTATAGTAATAATTCCAAGTGCTCTGAAAAAATGTCCTAGTGTATTTCAGTTTTCACACCCTCCCCCATATTAATTTTTTAAAAAACCCAAAATATCCAAATTCTAGTGCTACTACTTTAATTTAGTTGCAGTGTACCTTGCTTGTTAGAACCATATGTTAACCATACAAGTAACCTAGAACAGTGCCATACAGAATAAAGATGATAAGTGGCAAATATTGCATTATTCATTATTCCAAAATGTTACATTTGATTCTAGCTGCTTTTATGCCATGAGGTGGTAAATAACATGTCAGCTCATGCCAGATCTTTACAAAGATGCTAAGTTATTACATGTTAATTAATAAAGCTTCTCAGTTCTCATCATTCAGATTTTTATGAGAATTAAAGGACTTAATTTGGATGCACGGAAATAAACACAGCGTTACATTGAGACGTCAAATTTGCAATTATTCTTGTTAATTATATGTGTGTATCCCCAAAACAGCCATCCCCAACCTTCTTTTTGATTTTACCACTTTCTGTTGATATGCCTTTCTCCCTTGCTATTATCTACCATGTGTTGCTCTTTTACTGCAGCAATTATTCTCTGTAGTGTTCATTGTTGTCTCTCTGCCTCATGCTGCCAGGGAATATAATTAATGTTACTAATGGTTTTCTTGCCTGCAGAGTTTAGCCACTTGGGAGAATGAAAACAAGATCTATTGCAAACAAACTCTTATTGAGGGAGAGGGCCCTAAAACATATTGGACTCGGGAATTAGCTAACGATGAGCTGATTTTGGTAAGAACCTTTCACCTTTCCAGTGCATACATTGTACTAATAGGTTTTGTTGCTATGTAATCGGACTGTTACTTTTTTCCATTAATTATTGTGAAATACGCTGTTTATATTAAATGCATTTGAAAGGCCAGGATGCTCCTAACCCTCTTCAGTGCAATTCACAGACAATGGCTTTTTAAAATCGTTGTTCTCAAAAAAATTACCAAAATATATTATGTTCTTCTGTTTTAGCTGCCTCTAAACACTTAGTGGTAAAATAACCATAATGAGCCAAATCCAGTTCTATAAATGCAGAGTAACTCCAGTGATTTCAGTTGTAATTGCAGATGTTATCAGTGTAAGTCAGAGCAGAGAATTTGACCTAATTTCTGGAGAACTGCCTGCTTTGATTTATCTGGAAAAATATCCTTTTCCTCGTCCTTTTTTTGGTACATGTGTAATAAGTTGCTTCTTATCACATGATGTGTGACAAAGGAATGCCTGGCATACTGTTAGCACTATATAACCTCCCTCTGATAAGTAGGAACATGTCACCCCATCCTCTTATCACCTCTGACTCCCTGCTCATCTCTGAACTCCATTCAGAATTGCCCTCTGTTTTCAAGATTCCTGGACTTGCTCTTCCTTATGTCTGAAATCATATCCACCTATGTCCAGCTCCGATCAATCTGCTTCTTCAGTCCTTGCGTTCCCTCTGCCACTCCTATATAACACTCCACACGCGGGCAGGAGTAGGTCAGCAGTTCTGCCTCATGTATCTGGAACTGGATCCCTCCACCTGAGCCAGTGAGGATACATCTACTCAGGATACATCAAAGACCTGTGGCACAGCCGCAACTGGAGTGGGTCAGCTGACTTGGGTTTACAGGGCTTAGACTGTGGGGCTAAAAATTGCTGTGTAGATGTTCAAGCTCAGGCTGGAGCCCGAGCCCTGGGACCCTCCACCCCCGCAGTAGGGGTGTAGATGTACCCTCAGTCACATTCAGTCTATTTATTTCTTCTACAGTTGTCATCTTGGTACTGATATCTCTTCTCTGAATCTCACCTCAGTGCCCAGCCCTGCTACAACTGCAGCTGTGATCTGTAACTGGCTAGAGACATGGTCACTTTAACATAATTACAAGTATCACAATTCAATTTGTGCCCACACAGTAGCCTTTCCCCCACAACAGCAGTTTGCACATCCAAAGTCACTGCATTGCCTGTTTGTGCATTCTGGGTAAATCCAGCAAGCTATCCCAAGGATGGTCCAGTGGTTAGAGCAGTAGTCTCTGCTGTGGGAGATCCAAGGTAGTTCTTGCTCTGCCACAGACATCCTGTGCAGTCACGGGCAAATCACTTGGCCTATCTATGCCTCAGTTCCCTATCTGTAAAATGGTGCTAATAGCAGTGCCTTATCTCACAGGAGTGTTGTAAGGATATGTACATTAAAGATTGTAAGGTACTCAGATACTACAGTGATGGGGACCATATAAGTATCTTAGATAGACAGACAGAATAGTACCTCAGCCAGGGAATAGAGTGTCTGGAGGACATGCTGTCTGGGATGGAGGCTGTCAACTGACTTATAGCACACACAACAATGGGGAGGGGATTTTTAGTCCAGAACACTGGGGCATACCTCTGCTCTTATGAAAGATACCAATACAATCTAACCTTCATGTAATCCAGACAGGAGCTCTGTTTTTTAAGGTCTCATCGGAAAGGGGGGGGTGGGGGAGGGGGGAACCTAGATCTGATCCTGTGTAGACAAGAAGCTTTTAGAATGTTAATGTTGTTATTTCAGACAGTAAGGAACAGTGTTTCTAGGAATGGGGTGGATGTTATTAGTGAAATCACACTGGTTTCCGTAAATATGAACACCCAGATCCTTGGTTATTTCTATTTATTCAACCTTAGTAAGCCTTTATGTTACCCAGATACTTAGGAAGCAGGGAGCTCTACTCTCTGTTACATATCTTTTTTTACTGATACAAACAGAATTTATTTCCAAGTGTCATTTTTCCCTCTCTCTAACAAAGCATTTTTGGATTTTGTCATCTAAGCAACCTGCTCATGAGGCGTCTGCAAAACCAAGGCCAACTCTTACAGTACAAGCAGGAGATCCGATTGTAATGCTGTCACCACGTGCAGCCACGAAACAAACTGACCCAACTGGGAAAGGAGAGTGAGGTTAAGAAACACAATATGGACTCATAGAATATAAGGCTAGAAGGAACCATTGTACTCAGCTAGTCTAACCTCCTCTATAACCAGAGGCCATAGGACTTCCCAGTATTAATTCCTGTTTAAACTAGAGCAGTGGTTTTCAACCTTTTTTCATTTGTGGACCCCTAAAAAATTTCAAAAGGAGGTATGGACCTCTCTGGAAATCTTGGGGTCTGCAGACCACAGGTTGAAAATCACTGAACTAGGGCATATTTTTGTAGAAAAATATCCAATCTTTATTTTAAAAGGCTTTCTCTTTTGAAGGTTTTTGCTTGAACCATAATGACTGGGAGTTGAAATTCAGCCTGGTGCAATTTTCTGCAAGCATTGGTTTAAAGCTTAATGTTTCCCAGCTCCAACCTCCTTCTCAAGCCTCCCTCCTCTTCAAGAAACACCTCCTTCTCCTGTAATCCTTCCCATAGCTCCCCAGTCAGCCTACCCCAGCTCCCTTCTAGCAGAGCTCAGGAGATGAGCTGGAGGGAGCCCCATTCCTGCGCGCTTTGGGGGTCTCTGCAACTGGGACAGCTGCCTTGCATGGAGCAGAACCTGTGCTGGTAGTGTATGAGCCGTGCAGGGCTGGTACCTGATCCTTCGAAAAGAGACAGTATTGAGTTATTTCAGGTATAGCATCATACATTTCACTACCAAGGTGAATTTTTTTTTGCATCTGTGTTTTGTCTTCCCCAAAAATCATCTTTGCTCTTTGTTCATCTTATCTTGGGAAAATTTGGGAAAGGTGTTTTTGGTACGTCAAGAATAAATCTTGTTCATCTAAGGCCTGATGGTCTATGGAGGCAGGATCAGATGCCTCTTTTGAAAAAAGGCACGTTAACACTTTTTAAAAGAGTTTTAAAGATGCTTTCTCCACTATTATTTATAGTAATCCCATTGGAAGTGTGGCAATGGCGCCTTCATATTTAATAGTATTATTATTCTCCATCACAGATTTGTTAGTATAGGGTTTCTCAGAAATGTTAGGTTTGGGGGGAGGGGTGCTTGTTTGGTTTTGGGGTTTTTTGAGTATTGAAAACTTGGATTTTCAAATATTTTTGAATAAAAATGGATATAAAGGATTAATGGGATGTGCAAACAAAAAGGGAGGTGAGGAGGGAACTTGTGAAAGTTCAGATTTCTTACCTTGAGAGTATCCTTAACTATCCTTAACCTTTAAATTCGAATGCAGATACTGGGCCAGATTCTGATCTTATTTACACAAGAACATCATTCACTAGAGTTACTCTGGATTTATACTAGTGTAAGCAGGACCAGAGTCTGACACAGCATATGTATTTCATGTACAGGTCTAAAAATAAAGATGTATGGTTGAGGTTATTTTAAAATAAGGTCTTTTTTCCTTACTCTCTAATTGTGATTCTATTGTTTTTTGCTGTTATTGCACTCTTCTGTGACATTAATGAGCTGTCCATCACTCAAGCAAATTAGGAGGGACAAAGGGTCTGCTCTTACCCAGAATTAAAGGTTGCGGCCTTCAAATATTAGCTGTTCAAATTAGAATAATTTATATTCTATCTTTTCTGTGTTGCTTCTTTCATGACTGCTCAGCCCCTTATAATTTTTAGTATGTTCTGTATCGCAAATGCTATAGAGTAGATGATTTATGAAGCATGGCTTTAAAAAACAGCTTCAAACCAAATTTTGCACAGTTCACATGTCACACAGGGGTTCTCAGAATCAATTATAGCAAGGGTCAAAGATCAGAAGTTTGAGGGGTCTGAAGCATGGTTTCCATTCCCCTTCCTCTCCCTGGAAAAATCATGCCATAGTTGATTAAAACTGGTGAACTGTGGAGCATAGATGAATGATTGAACATTTTTTAAATGATATTTCTGGATTCTGAAATTAAACATGGCAGGTAAGATGGCCCAACACAGATTGGAGAGATAATGCACAGCTGAGTGCCAAAGTGTGTCTGTGTGGGTTTAAGCCTTGGAATTAAACCACTTAAAGGTTTAATGCTTCCTATATTTTAAAAAAGTATGATCTTAAGTAATCAAGTGGAGGGTCTGCTCCCCCGTGCTTAATTTTTGCTAGGGCTTGCCAGGGCTGAACCTCAGCACCTCGAGGCTTGGCAGTTCATAGCTCCGGCAACTCTGGGCTTGCTGCATCAGTTATGAAAGTAAAAAAGATTGCTTGAGCCCCAGCACCTCTTGAATTACAAATTAAACATTGCTGCTCCCACTGAAGTCAATGCAGGTTTTGCCATTGGCCTCAACAAAAGCAAGATCAAGCCCAGAATCCAATGTCCATACATGTTTAAGTACTGGAGATACCTAAAGCATTATTTGAATATGCATCCTGTTGTAATACCATCTGTAATACAGCTGACTGACTGATATAGGTATTTAGTAATACAAGTTAGGAGATAGAGTTGTCCATTCGATAGACCATTGGACTGCAAGTCAGGAGATCTGGCTTCTATTCTTGCCTTTGTCACTTCCTGTGTGACACTGGACAAGTTGCACAAGCCAACAATTTTCAAACTTGGGTATTCTAAACTTAGGCATCCAAATAAGTGGCCTGGTTTTGAGGGGTACTGAGCATTGACTTTGATGGGCACTATCAATGGTAAATAATAAAGAGGACAGGTCACTGATACAGAGCAATCTGGCTCACTTGATAAGCTGGTCACAAGCAAACAATATACCTTTTCATACAGGTGAGTGTAAATGCATATATCTAGGAACAAAGAATGTAGGCCATACTTACAAGGCGGGGGGCTCTGTCTTGGGAAGCAGTGACTCTGAAAAATATTTGGAGGTCATGGTGGATAA